GGCCTCGTTCCTTCCCTGGGAAACACTGCAGATATTTCCACTTGGGCGGTGCAGCGGTGACTTCCATCCAGTAGCCGAGATAAGCCAGATGGGGCAATGTCTGCGAAAGACTCTTGATAAATTTCAGGTACGGCTTTGGCCTGCGAGGCGGAGTGTCAGTGGAAGCACTCCCATTTCAAAGAGTAAAACGACGGACTCCTTGATTTCCCACTGTGTTTTGCACCTGACGCCTTCGTAGAGATCGCCAATGTAGTATGTGTTCCCGGCGGCATCGGTATGAGGCAGAATGGCAAATTCTTTCCCGTTCCAGCCCTCCCACTGTTTTTTCTCGTGAGGTTCTAGGTCATTGATTTCCCGGCAGAGGAGTTCATAGTTGATGCCCTGAGCCTTGGCGGATTGGCCGTCTGGTGGAGGATGAACTTGGCCTTCGAAATCCATTTCCTTGGAGCGGGCCGGACTAGCGGTGGAAAACATCTGAACCATCCTGGAGGCTAGCAAGAGAGACCTCACACTAGTGATGGCGCGGTATTAATAGAGGAGACGAACGAAGCAGATAATTAGGAGACGGCAGAGCGAGGAGCTATCCATGGATAGTCTCGATGGGGGTGCCTCAGGCATGGTGGGCTTGGTGTGCGCTGGCCGATGATTTTCTGCTTGATGCAGTGTGAGCCTGCAGAGGTGGGGTTTGGGGCTGCATGGAAAGTCTTGGACGATGCCGTAGATACCGTGATCAGCAGCAAGAGCAGTTGAGCAGTTGAGCTAATCAGCTATCTCATCAACTGCTGGTGGACTACAGTACATGAGGGTGCGGGGTTTGGCCAACCAGAGATCCTATGCAATAATCGACACTTTTTTACAGCCAATAGTGAATTTTGTGGTTGAGCAGAATTGGAGAAAATCGGGGTCATTCACTGACCACAAGTACTGCAGTCCACAGCAGTTGAGCTAAGGTAGGTAGCTATATCTGTCCAATATGCTTGTGTCGCTGCGGGTGGGCGTGAGGGCATACTGCATGGCAGCTCGTGCCTTCCGCATGAGAGGGCAGCGCAAGTCGAGTGCCATTCGATTTACATTGGCAGGCACGGCCGGGGCGGCTGCCCTGGCGAGTCACAATGTAGGCGCAGTGCATGCAGTCAGTGCTGACTTCCATTGAGCTCGAGGAGTCGAGGCGCTGCGGCGCTAGCGAGCCAGACACCTGACGTGGGGGCTGTGCACGTACCTTATACAATGGACAGGAAGCTGCCTTGCTGTCAGCCTTCCAACATCCAATATCCCCGTCAAGCCACTCGCAGCTGCCTTCAATTCTCACCACCCACTAGTGGGGAATCCCATCCGGGCGGGAAGTCATCCTCTTTTTTTCCATTTGCGGTGCTGCCTTGCTGTGACTCCGAACAACACGACTTCAACCGCCAGCTCTCTCGCGATACGAATACATCTACCGTGCGTCGCCGCGTAAGAACCTGATGAAATATCCACACCCGCTTCCGTTTGCTGACGTGCCCAGGAAATCGCTGCCAACAAAGAGCAAACCGCGAAGAGGGGTACGCTTCATGCAGCATTTCTTGCGCTCGCTGTTTTCCTCATCGCGATCCTCTTCCCCCCATCCATCCTCTCACATTACCACAGAACCCACCAACGCCGCCCCGAGAGAGCCGGAGAAGACCGCCGTCATGGCCCAGCCGGTGCTCGTCAACGGCGCAAACGTCTCCCAGGCAGACCAGGCCGCCTACGCCAGAGACAACCTGCAGGCCTGGGACAATATTGCTAACGAGTGGGAGACCTTCCACACCCCCGGCGAAGACGATGGCAGCGATATGTTCACCCAGTGTCTGCTGCCTGTCGTGTGGGAGCTCGCAACTGAAACCAAGACTACCGACGACCTGGCCGCCTGGAAAGAGGGCGAGACCGTCCTTGATCTGGGCGCAGGGAGGTGAGCAGCTGAAATTGCGACGCGCGAAACGCGCAAGCAAGCTGACTTTGCCATTTTGCAGCGGTATAATTGCGCGCATGTTCGCGAAAAAGGGTGCCCATGTGACCGGCCTTGACTTCTCAGAAGCCATGCTTGAGAAAGGCCGCGAGCGAAGTAAACGAGAGACGCTCAAAGGCAAAATCGAATATGGCAAAATCGATCTTATGAATTACGATGAAATGGCCGCCTACATGGAGAACAAGGAGTAATTCTATCTCTCCCAGCACCGCTGCATTCACCTGCTAAGTAATTGCGAACAGGCGGTTTGACATCATAACCATCAGCACAACACTCAAATCTCTACCTTCACTAGATCCGGTCGCTAAGGCTCTGCCACTAATGCTGAAGCCCGGTGGACGGTCAGCATTATCGACTGCGGAACACATAATATCTGCTGACATCTGACAGTGTCGTGGCCGTTGACCTTCACCCCGCATTCTCAAAACCGGCCGGCCATCGCGGCATGGAGATTTACGAGGATCCCAACACCGGCAAGCAGCAGCTGAGCACCTACATCAAGATTCCAAAGTATCTTAACGTCCCACCGTCCAAGAGTGAGGCCGTCCGTGGGCAGCCAGAGCCACTAGTAAGTTTTCAATCTCTTGTACATCTCATGATCAGACACTGAACTAACCTCGCAAAAGTGGGTGTTCCACCGACCGTTCTGGTCACTAATGGAACCTTTCTTCAAGAACGGATTGGTTCTGGATGCCATGCGGGAGCCAGCTTTCGAGGGTGCACCTCAACCCCAGCAGGCACAAAGCTACCACAACTTTCAGCAAACTCCCATGCTGCTGGCGTTCCGCCTACGGCACAAGGACCAGATCAATGGCGCACGGAATTGACCGAGTGGTCACAGAATAGCACTGCAACCCTGTACATAGTTCACCTGCCGCGGGAAGTTCTTGGTGTCCAACCCGTTGGACGGGCCTCTAACCGGGTGAGAGGATTTGGGCCCACGTCGCCCTGCAGCCACGACCAAGAGATACCGGTCACCTACTTCGACTCAGACCGGCCCTCCTTACTTCCGATAATCCACGGAAACTGCCTGGATTTCCTCCGACTACTGAGTTGAGTACGTGGAAGTAGGAACCAACTTCACGCGCCTACGACGACTTACTGAATCACGACATGCACCTAAGGCCTTAGACTTGGTTCTTACAGGCCACGATTTGACGGAGCACATCATGAAATTACGTGCCCCTTTTTCCAAAGCTTTCCAAGTCTGCAAAGACGGCTCTCACATCAGATGTATTTGTTGGAGCTTCATGATGGTAATTTTGATTTTGCCTACACTCAGCCGGCCATACAATGCAGACCACATGGCTCTGCTCATGGAATTGGCGGTATGTTGAAGTTTACACGATCCGAGGAGCAATTCTCCCAGTGCTCGTCAGCGAGGAAGCTCTGTCTCAAACAGATCCTGCCTGCCTTTGGGCAGTTTTGTGGAATCGCGGGTTCTTGTACTGTATCTCAATCAATTCCCATGTGTTCAAGCAGTGGAAGTCTCCCAATATCACCTCTTTCATTCACTTCACCCACACATAATAGGCGTGAAGGCAGCAGAGACAGTGGTATGCATATTATTCTTGTTAAAGACTGTGAAGTTTTAGTAAGACTACAGTTAAGCGACACCGAGCAAAGCTTGTTAACGCTGTAACCAGAGGCAACTGACAGTTCTCAGGGGAAATACTGAACGACGGTGACAATGCCGATGACAATACCGATAAGGCAATGAACTGAGCATCTATCTGACGTTGCCGGAGAAGTATGACTTCAAATGCAATGCACTTACTTCTAGATGCCCACGGGGAGAGAGATTGGCTTGGCCAATGAATGAATGGCAAATTGTTCCAGCCGCAGGTGATCGTGAACTAGAGCGGGGGCAAACTCAATTGGGCCTTTTCGTGTAAAGCGAAAAGTAGCGGTAATCTGCGAAGATAGACTTTGTCTAGGACTCAAGAACATTTTGCCCGCGCCCTGGCACCGGTATTGAACGCACAACTGCACAGGCCAGAAAGATGCTGAAGATTCCGAGGTGCATAACAGGCTTATCCATGGGTATTACTGCAGCATTTCGCAGTATCTGCTCTCATAAACTCTGCAAAAAGGCCCGACAGACAACTTGACTCGGTTGTCCCCCACACGAAAGGTGCGAAGAACGAAGAGGATCAACGGAGCCGGGGCGTCACCGGCTTGGCATACGGGTTCGCGCCCACCGGCCCGCACCGCCCTACCTACGACATTCAAGACCCGCTGCCGTTCATGCCACCACTGAAGAGGATTTCACAATTGGCGTGAGAGCGATTTGATGAAAGAAACCGTCCAAATATCAACAAGTTCAATCTCGCTCAATGAACCTTGGACTGTTGACCATTTGGTTTTATTACCCGATCGCATGATTAGCTAGGCCTAAATCATTAGACCGCTAAAGAAACTTTGAGGTTCAACGCAACTCGGAACTCTCGGACGGGACTACTCCAGACTAATTCACGATTGCAAAGGTGCACATAGCTTTACTACTGCACATGGGAATTCAACATGCGATTCCCAGTACCCATACCCATGCGTCTCATGGGTCGAAAAGATCTTATCACCCGATAAACACTGAAAGAAGGGGTGCGCTTGACTTACACCCTTGATTAAATACAGGGTGGGAACGCTTTTCATTACTACGAGCTCCTGACTCTTTTCTCTTTGGAGGAATAATCACTAAAAAGACCATAAACTCCATCATGATATTGATACCGCTGGCAATCATTCTCAGCGCGGCTGTAATATACGCTACAATTCGTGGGATATATTTGCTGTGGTTTCATCCATTAGCAAAGTATCCTGGACCTAGGATTGCTGCCATATCCAATCTGTGGTACATCTACGCCTGGTATGCCTTCCTCTATGACTCTATGTAGCATCAGAATACGGCTGACCAGGAGGGCTCGGCTAGGCTTTCCGGAAGATATCCTTGGATTATTGAACAGAAATTTCAAATTTACGGTATCAAATCACGCACCACCTCTCACGAGACCCCATGCTGACTAGAACAGGCGATGTTGTTAGAATTGCGCCAAACGATTTGGTCTTTCGTACACCACAGGCCTATAAAGATATTTATGGAAGCACCGTTAGGCGGCGAGAGATCTTCGTCAAGACTGACGTGCAAGACTTGCCGGAATTTACTGGATTTCCTGACCTAGGTGTCGCCGCTGAGAGGAACCCCGAAACTCATGCTCAGGTTGCGCGTGCACTGCAACCATCCTTTAGCTCGCGCGTTCTCCAGGGCTGTCACGGTGTGATTCACCAGGTTGTTGACGAGTTTGTCACGCAGCTTGAGAGACGAGGCGAAGTCAACTTGACAGAGGTAATTCCTCGAAGGTGGCAACCACATAATTCGCACCGTTGACTTCAGCTAGTGGGTCGATTACTTCGCCCATGACATTTCCGGCGAGTTGGTGTATAACAGGGAGGCGAAGATCATGAAGTCAGGTGAGGCTCCAAAGTTGACATCACAAGAAAATAGTTGGCCAACTAAATTTTCCTATCATAGGAGATCCTACGCCCGATGTAATAGCATCACGAAAAATGTCATATCTGGGAGCAGTCATCGTGGCACTAAAACGGTTTCCCCTCTTAAAGTTTCCTCTATTCGTCTGCCTGATTCCATGGGCTTTAGCATCTGGCATATCAACCTTCGGCAAAACTGTCCAAGGTTACGCACGCGCGCGGATTGCGAAAGGTGGCAAGGTCCGACATCTAGATCTCTTGGAGCCCATCATACCCCCCGAGGGGTCAATCGTGTCACAAGAAAGCAAGAAGCGCAGCGACGACTGGATCGTTGCCCAAGCCAACTCACTCATGGCAGGAGCTTTAGGTCTGGTCACCAACGCCATTATTTCGTCGATTCTCCTCTTGTGCGATTCGCCAGAGACAATGAACAAGTCCACACACTTCCCTCCTACATACAACCCCGCCGGCACCCACTGTTAGTGCCGTGCTGGGTCCGCAACCTGAACACTAACACCACCAAATCCACCCCCTAACAACCGGAACTCTCGCCTGCGATGGCCTCACAGCCAGCCGCGGGCCTCTCGCAGGCCCCTAGGGGCCTCTCATCCTCTATGCATAGTCTCCCCCAGACCCCTCCCCCCCCTACCTCCCTACCTCCACGACCGAGGGGCCTCACGCCCCCCCCTATCCGGCCCTTGGGAAGGGGGCTACGATCGGCCACTGCCGCCCTCCAGCAGGCTTGAGAGGGTTGAGCCCTCTGAGATGAGGCCCTGGACCTCCTCGCCAGAGGCCTAGATGCCCTCATTAGGACGGCCCCAGCACGACTGAAGGCTACAGCCTAGGACCTTATCGATACCTTTACCCGGTTTGCAACCGCAGAAATCTCTGGACCCACCCCTGGCCCCAGCACTGGAAAAACGTATGCCCAGACAGCTAGTAACTCTACCGCTAGCGGCCCCAGCCCCAGCCCCAGCTCCAGCCCTGGCTCCAACTCCGGCCCCAGGTTGAACCCAGCAGCAGGCTGGCGGGCCACCAGCCGCACACGCCAGCCTAAGCAGACCCAGGACCTCCGCCTACTAGTTCGGCTCCCTGCAGAACACATCCCTACCTCCAGAACCCTAGCCCCTCACTCAGTTAAGATAGTGGTAACAAAAGAGCTTAACTTACAGCCGCAAGACGTAGTTGAGGTCTGCCATACTGCTATAGGCTTCTCACTTCAGCCCTAGAACAAGGAGATCTAAGCTTTCCTTCTCTAGAGAGCCCCTGAGATCAAAAGCTGCCTTACAGCTGAGAAGGTTGAGGTGCCCACTAAGTGGCATCAGTATATCATCCTATTCTGCCCCCTCTATTTTACTAGCCTCAATAGTAGTAAGGTTAGCATAGAATCTGAAATAGAGGAAGAGGTCTTCCTAAAGATAAAGCAAAGACTTATTTCCTGGCGCCCAACCTGGAATAGCCCTGATCTAGCTACAGCTACGCAAAGCCTGGTTATCGCCCTCCCTCAATAGGTTAAGGAAGGCTTCCGCCTGTTTAGACAGTCAGGTCCTGCTCGTCTGCTCCCCCCGAGGAAGCATATCCCTAAACGACACTCCCCTGGCTGCCAAGGCTTTCACTCAAACTGCTACTGCACCTGGAAACCCCTCTGCAAGAACTATAGCAAACCCTTAGATACTCATAAGGCTGGGATCTGCTTAGTTAGGCCTAAGTGTGCTAACTGTTATAGGCCCTTCCCAGCAAGCTATGCAGACTGCCCAGCTAGGCCCCTACTGGTTAACAGAAACCTTATTATTCCAACCTGGAAAGAACTGCGAGGGATCCAGAAGGTTAGAGAGAAGGCGTCTAGCGACCTTCTAGCAAACCAGGCTAGCTCCCTAGGAAGCAGCATACAGCAAGCTGAGGCTAGGCCAAGCGCTACATCTAAGCGCCCTCAACCCCTCACACCTACGCAAGACTTAATTATTATTGCAGATACTGCTAATATAGCTGGGAGCAGCAGTATGGATGAAGATGAGGCTGAAGACTCTAAAGCCCTCCCCCCCCCTAACTAACCGCCCTATCCATCCACTCCTAAGCAGCAGCAGGAGCCAGAGGGTAGCCCAGAAGCCTGACTATAACGTTGTTAATACCTACACCCACCTCAACCTCAACTTAGAGCTATAGGCTTAGGCTAGCAACCCCACAGGTACTACGAGTTGCCTAGTGTAATATAGGGAAGAGGAGCCCAGCCTATACAGCTCTCTTAGAGCTCTGCTGGGCAGATCAGATCGACATAGTTCTGGTCCAGGAACCCTAGATAGGCTATAGAGATAAGATGCAGATTAATACACACCTAGGCTTTAACTCCTACGTACCAGTTGACTTCTGGAACAGCAGAGATATAAGGCCTAGGGTTATAACCTACACACGCAAAGGTCTAAGGCTGCAAATATAGTAATAAAGACCTACCTAATCAAGAGATATCTTATAGGTGAAAGCTGGCGACCTCACTATTATAAATATATATAGGCCGCCAGATAAGCCTATAAACCAAGCAACCAGCATCCTTCTAGATTATCAACCGCCAGAGAGAGCCCTTATTGCTAGGGACCTTAATGCCTGCCACTCCTCTTGGGAACCTAGGTCCCCTAGCTGGAATCGAGGAGACGATATTGCAGAATAGGCAGAAGGCTATAATCTTCTGTTTATTAGGGAGGTTGGGGCCCCTACCTATACCCACAGGCATACCCTCAACCTAACCCTCTCAAATATTCCCTTTACTAAGGCTTATATCAGCCCACACCTACACCTAGGGGCTGACCATAAAGCCATCACAACAATTATCCCTATAAGTAGGGCCTAGGAACAGGGACGCCAGGCTAACCAGCTCTCAGTCCCAGAGTCAGCCCTACCACAGCTGATCAACCTAGTAAAGGCTGGGGCTACAGCCTTACCTACTCTAGGGGAACTGCCCAGCCCAGCAGAGCTGGACACCCTAGCTGCCCAACTGGTCAGCCTCTTCTATACAGCTATTCAAGTGTTACGGTCAGCTATCCGACAGTAGGGTCTGCTAACAGAAGTTGGGGATTGATACGTTCTAACAGTACACGGGGTCGTGGTCGTAGGTCGTAGTTCGTAGGCTGTAGTAGATCGGGTCTTCAGAGGCTAAGGTGATCAGTCTTAGACTCAAAATAAGTGATTCGCAGTGAAGGTAAGCTGAGAGTATCCGTGAGGATGAATACTAAGTTGATTGCTGAAGAGCTATGGAAGTCTGACCATAAGCCAGGCTCAGGGTCATACTATATACAAGTTCTGAACAGTGCCCTTATCTCTTGTTACCGTTCCTAGTCCTGACGGGTTCCGTTCACGCTAAGTACGGCTTCTGTATTCTTAGCGTACAGATCTAATCTCTTATCTTATCGTCACGTGACTTATACTATAGTTCTTCTGTTTCCAAGTGAGTCCCTGTTGTTCCTGTGATCCTACAGTATAAATATCCTGTCCTAGCCGCCTGACGCCCGAGTGGGTCGTTCAGCTGTTATCCTTGTTTACAGGTCGTAACATCAGGTCCCCTCTCTAAAGGTCTTATCCTCAAGGCCTAACATAAGTAGGTCGTTAGTCCTAGGTTGGGGATCTATCAATCGTGCTTCCTGATTTACTCATGATGCTGACACTATGTCAGGTTGCGTTCAAAAATCTAAGTCAGCGCTTCGTTCTGCTTATAAAGACGTTTTCTATCGCTTCGGTTCTGACGACGTCATGCCTTATACTCGATATTTTCGTGCGAAGCATACGTGTCGTATGGCGGAGGGCGCTAAAACTTATTAAGGTTATAAGAACCTGAAGCGTCCTTATGACGGTCTAGTGGTTGTATCGAGTCGTAAGTTTTTGTTGTGTCTTGCTGGGTGTGTCTGTGCTGATTAGTCGTAGTGAAGAGGCTAAGCGATCAGCGTTAAGAATAGGAGGAGAAGGAGGAGCAGGCTAGTGATGCCTTGCTGGACCTTTATAAAAAGTTGGCATAGGTTCAGGCTGAGGTGGCTGAAGCGGCTGGTCGGTTATTACGTATTTGTGCGATTCGTAAGAAGGTTAAGGAGCGTCATATAGAGATATTTTCTCGGGGTATGCAGGAGTTAGAGGAAGACGATGTTCTTCCTGCCTTGGATGCACATGAGAGTGGCGTGGTGGGCGATCTTCAATTCCTCAGTGTTGAGAATGATCCAGATTAGCAGAGTTTTAGTGTTAGTGAGGAGTTTGCAGATCTTGGTCCTTTGGTCGGTAGTGATCGGTTGGTGTCCTCGGGGGGTTCTTAGTTATACTCTGGTGTTCCTAGGCGAATGAATGGTTTCCCTTGTTGCGGTCGATCTGCTTCAGTAGGAGGTCTAGTGAAGCGATATAGGTGTCTGATTCGTTTATATCTAACGTTCTTCTGGGCTAATACAACAGGTGTTAGTGTGGCTTCTCGTTCTTAGTGTTGTTGCCAGTAGATCGTAAGTTCTTCTGCTGCGTTGGTGATATTTTTAGCTGGTTCCTATATGTTGTCTTTATGTCTGTATCCTTTCTATTTAACGAGGTATTAATACCCTTCTGGTTCTTTGAGATAGTCGATAATTTGTTCCACTTCATACTCTGGTTCATTATCTTCGACGATGATAATATCGTTTGTCTGTGATCCACGTGGTGCTGGTTTGAGGAGTGAGACATAGAATACTGGGTGACACTTCATGGTTTCTGGGAGTCCTAGTTCGTAGTTGACTGGTGAAATTACTCGTGAAATTTTGAAAGGTCTGAGTTTTTTATAGTTGAGTTTGTCGTTTGGTCGCTTTGTCTTGATGTTTCGCTATATAAGATAGGCGCTATCTCCCTCTTTTAAGGTTGGTCCCTTAATCCTTTGTTTGTTGCTGAACTTTGTTATTCTTTGTCGTATAAATTCAAGTTCTTTGCGTGCGTTTTCCTGGATATCCTTGATTTGGCGTATTAAGGCGACAGCTTTTACTGCAGCTGGGCCTGTTTGGGGTTCTCCATAGGCGGTTGGTTCGAATCCATAGTTGAGGTAGAAGGGGGATTCCTTGGTACTTTCTCCTACTGCGCTGTTGTAGGCGAACTAGGCTATTAGTAGCAATACAACCTAATTGTCTTGGTTGTAGTTGACGTAGGCGTGGAGATATGTTTCGAGGATTTAGTTGATTCGTTCTGTTTGTCTGTCGGTCTGCGGGTGGAATGCAGTGGACATTAATTGTTTGATGCTGAGTTGTGATGTGATTGACTTCCAGAATTTGGAAGTGAAGATCTTATCTCTGTCTGATATAATTTCTCTGGGCGTTCCATGGTTGGCGATAATATATTTAAGAAATATGTAGGCATATTCTTCAGCGTTACTTGCTTCTTTGTACGGGATGAAGTAGGCGTACTTCGTGAGTCGGTCCATAATAATAAGAACGCTGTTAAAGTGTGTTCCCATAAGGGGTTCCTGAGACTTCGGTAATTTGACGATGAAGTTGAGGGATATGGATTGCCAGGCTGTTTGCAGTATAGGCAAGGGTTATAGCATACCATAAGGTTGATGTCGAGCGGGTTTGCTTTTGAGGCAGACCTCACAATCCTTAATTGCTTTTGCCACTCGTTCTCTGGTGACCTTTTCTCCATATTGTTGTCGTAGTCGTTTCCAGGTTTTTATGATTCCTTGGTGACTATATACAGGGCGAGCGTGAAACTCCATAATTGCTTCGTCGTCTAGTTCGTTAGGCAGGCTAGTACTAGATCGTCCGGCCATCATCAAGAGTTTGGTTGCTAGCACTAGGTCTCCGTCGTTATTTCCTTTGAGAATCACCTGGGTTTCTTCAGGTACTAGGACGTTATAGTCTGGTCGTCGGCTAAGAGCGTCAGCTCTGCTATTGTCTGATCCTTTGCGATAGATGATTCAGAAGTTGAATTCTGATAGGAATTCTGACCATCTAATCTGTCGTTTATTCAACACTTTTGAAGTTATGAAGTGTGAAAGGTTTTTGTGATCTGAATACACAAGTACTTCGTGTGTGGTTCCTGAGAGCTTAGGTCTCCATTCTTTGAAGGCTTCGATGATTGCCATAAGTTCCTTATCGTGGACCTGATAGTTGAGTTCAGGTCTGTGGAGCTTGCGAGAAAAGAAGGCGCACGGATGTAGTCGTCCTTCTGAATCCCATTAGGATAATTATGCTCCTATCGCATAGTCGGATGCGTCAGGTTCTACTTCGAACTGTTTTGTTGGATCTGGAATGCTTAAGATAGGCTCGCTGGCGATGAGGTCCTTGATCTTCTGGAATGCTGTTTATTGTGGTTCTTCCCATATAAAGGGCGTGTCTTTGCGGCTGAGGCTTGTGAGAGCTGTGTTGATCTTACCATAGTCTTTGATGAATTTGCGGTAGAAGTTAACGAAACCTAGAAATCCTTAGACTTCCTTAAGGTTGTTGGGTACCAGCTATTCCTTGATGGCTTTGACTTTGTTTTCTGATATATAGACTTTTCCAGGGGTGATAGTGAATCCGAGGTATTCCACCTTCTGTGTGTGGAATTCGCTTTTCTCAGGTTCAACTAATAGCTTGGCTTCTTAGAGGGCTTGTAAGACGTGGTGTACGTCCTCCTTATGTTTCTCAAGTGTTGATGAGAAGATGAGGATGTCGTCGAGATAGACTACTACGCAGATATCGACGTATTTATATAAGACTTAGTTAATCATATTTTGGAATGTTGCAGGGGCGTTAGTGAGGCTGAAGGGTATGACGAGGTACTCAAAATGTCCTTTTCAGGTTCTGAAAGCGGTTTTCCACTCTTCTCCTTGCTTCATTCTGATCAGGTTATAGGCTCCTTTGAGGTTGAGGGCTGTGAACCAGTTGGCTCCATAGAGGAGTCGTCTTATTTCGTCGATAAGTGGTAGTGGGTAGCGGTTCTTGATCGTTATTTCGTTTAGCATGCGGTAGTCGATATATAATCGTAGTTTTCCGTTCTTTTTAGGTATAAACAGGATTAGGCTTCCTGCTGGTGACGTTGAGGGTCTGATGTATCCCTTCTTCAGATTTTCTTCAAGGTATTTGTCTAGGGCTTCTATTTCTGTCTGGTTGAGTCCATAGATTTTGTTGAAGCGTGGTTCCTTCCCTTTTTTGAGGGGTATTTCGTGGTCGAAACTGGTGTGTTCAGGCAGTCCGGTTTCTAATTCGGCTGCAAAGAGTTTCTCGTAAACTCTATACTCTTCTGGGATAGACAGAAGTGGATCGTTCTTCTGTTCAAGATCTATCGTTATCGGTGGTGGTGATACAGCTCCTTTCGCCTTGAGGTAACAGAGGTATTGTTTTGCTGTTCCTTGTCGTACTGATTCGTTTGAGGCCTGATTCTGACAGGGCTGCTCAGGGACTGAATCATCGTGGTCCCAATGGAGTTGGCCTTTGCTCCAATCTATCCGTGGGTTGCTTGTTCGTAGCCAGGGTAGTCCTAGCACTATGTCGTATATTCCTAGATCGGCAATGTCGAATTAGATTCTTTCTTTTCGATTCAGGTAGCTCATCTCGAGGGGCGCAGTCTCATTATAGATGGTACCTCCTTCGTACTTAAATTCTTCTCCTTCTGCTGTGTGTAACTGATATGGTCGTTCTTTTCCTCCCTATCGTATTTCTAGCCTATTGATAGCTCGGGGGGCAATAAAGTTTGCTTCGGCTCCGCTGTCGATCAGCGCGAGTGTTATCTGCTGATTGATAGTAACTTCGAGTTCGATATTACCCTTATATCCTTATGACATCTGATGAATAGATCTTATGTCTGTTGCCTGTCGTGATCTGTCGTCAGTAGGCAAGTCTAGTTTTTTGACTAGTCCGGTTGTCCTGGGTAGGTGATTTGCTTTCCTTCTCGCCATGCTTTTGCGAGGCTGTTTTTGCGGATCCTGACTTATAGGGGTCTAGGTCCGTTCTTTGCGATTCTCTAGGTTTATGCCTTTTCTTAGTAGTGAACTTAGCATTCGTCTTGTTAGCATTCGTCCTATTTCATGCTGTTGTTATGTTGACATCTCATAGGGAACTGAGGACTAGGTCTGAAGACTGCAAGGTTGTCTTCAAACAGTACTATAGTCCATCCAATCATAACGGAGGTTGAGTAGATCTCATGGATAG